GAAGGGGAGGGGAGCAGGGGGAGGGGAGGGGAGCGGGGGGAGGGAAGGGTAGGGAGGGGAGCGCAGGGGAGGGGAGTGGAGCAGGGGGAGCGGAGCGGAGGAACACTATTCTCCCTTTAGGCAGAAATCAGGCAGCTGATGCACTGTGGATGATTCACTCTTCCTTAAACTGCAGCGTGAGGGCTCCCGGCCGCCAGGGAGGCTGGCTGGAGGCTTTCGCATCCTCTCGGCCGCGTGGGCTCCTGGTGTCCACACTTCCGCTCGGGCCATGCGCCTGGCAACTGGGTAAAGACCTTCTGCCCATCTTTCACAGGTACCCGCACAACTGGCCCGGCTGGAACTGAGACGGCTGGAAGAGCCAGGGCCCGATGCCACGCTGTGCTCTGCATCCCGTCCTGGTTCTCCTAGGCAGTCCTGCCTCAAACATATGCCCCACACGCGCTGGCAACAGACAGCGCGCCTCCCTGCCCCTTCCCTCTGCTTCACCAGACCTCCATACCACGCTCTGTATGAACCCCGGACCTCGTGCTGTGGTCTGATGGCAAGACAGAATGCAGGCTGACGACAGAGATGAAGGCCTGACACTACTTCATACTGACGGGGCAGGTGTGGGACCAACAATTATGCTGAACTGTCAATTATGTATTTTCAGTGTGACATTATATGTACATGACCTTGATGGCGTCTCGGGGCATCATAGAGCCCCCAGGACCTGGCATACTGCATTGGGCACAGATTTCTTACATATTTCTGATGCCTGAAATTTTCTTTTCTTGCTCAAATATGAATTTAGTTTTAAACATTACCCATTTCATCCAACATGTCTATGAGTACAGTGAAAGGAAAGCACGTTCACATCTGCTCTGACACTTAACCAGATGTTTTCTCCAGAGTCACAGGCTTTAAAAAAAGTTCTCCTAAAGCATATTTTGTGTTTCTTTATAAGTCCTTTTGGGGTTACTATCCCAAAACTTACCTACTTTGTTTAGCTCTACTTTTAAAGTTAGGCCACTTCCTGGAAGTGTGTTTGAAATAAACAGAACAGAGCTCTTCAGCGTCTCTCCTGACGGGTCAGCAACTTCACAGGCTTAAACCCTCGCGAGGAGGTGGTTACGCGAGCTCCCAGACTCTGCCTAGGCCGCCTAGCTCAAGCCAACCTGATTCTGTTTCCCACGTTTGTTTCCCGTGGTCCTGAGGACTGAACCCTAGTCATCGTTCACATCAGGCATGTGCTTCGCCCCTGGGCAGCGTCTGTCCTTCCCGTTTCTTCTGAGATGGGGCTTGCTGAGCTGCCCCCGCTGCTCTCGCCCTCGTGACCCTCTGGCCTCACCTTCCCAAGGAGCCGGGCTCGCTGCTGTGGCCACCCACACCTGGCTCCATACCGATTCTTCTGCATCAGCTACTAGTCACAATGCTTCTACTCACATATCCATCTTCCTGAAATTTATTTCTATAGATTTGACATTTCGTAACTTGGAATCATCCATAAAAGTGGGTATCATATTATAGTCACTTTGTCATGTCAGTTAAAAAGTTTCATGAAAGTCCAGGGCGTCTTAATGCCCTGTTAACTGCTCTCCACGAAAGGGAAAGGCCACTGTGCTAAACTGCTCCGTTTTAAGACTAGTCTTTTAAATAGAAGACAAAGCTTCCTTCCAAACCCCAGATGACTAATGTGTTAATAGTCTTTGTTGAAGCATCTCCTGAAAGGTCTAAAGAATTCAGTTCCCTGTCATAAATATGTTCACTTATCCCTACAAAACCACCAAACATATTTGCCCAAAGGGATACTAATGTGTGTGTGCGCGTGCATGCGTGCCTATCTGTGTCTGCCTCTGTCTAAAATACCTACTTTACATATGGGAAGATACTAAAATAGCAGAAGTATCTTACGCCACGGTTTCGCTAGAATCTTCAACACAGTGCCACTTCCAGGTGCGGCGGAGTTTCCCGTGCTCTCGGCAGGCACAGTGCAGTGGTCTGGCGAGGGCAGGTACCGTAAATCACTAACACAGCTCCCTAAAGCATACCTCTGATGTCAGGAGCAATCTCAGATTCCAGTTCCTAGGTTCACCCGCCCTCTGCACACACCACCCATGTCCCTCCGCGGTTTCCCAGTGGAGTTTCTGGAGGACAGCCTAGCAAGGCGCTCTCTGTCTAATCCACCTCCCACTGACCTGGGCCCCTTGGGCGCTGATGTAATTTGATACAGCTGCTGTACTTAATGGGAAATTCTCTTCCTAATATCTACATGTTCTGTATTTTTTTAAAAGAGTACTGTACCCAGTTTACTAGCCTCCTGTCCCATAAATTATCTTACAATAAATGTCAAATTTAGTACCAAGAAAAAAAATGCTTTGCTGAGTAAGCTGGTGTATTTCCTTAAACCAGATAGCAACATCTAGTTAAACTCATCGTGTTTCTTTTTTATGTATTTAGTACAGGGCCTCCAGGGTCTCACTACACAGATCGGACTCACAGTGATCCTCCTGTCTTCAGCCTCCGAAGGGCTGGGATTACAGGCAGTAATCCCACCCAGTCTTTTTTCAGAATTAAATGAGACTGCCAGTTTTTATGGTAATATGCATGTAAGAAAAAAAGGATGAGCAATTAAAAAGGGCTTGTGAAGGGAGAATACTCATCTATCTACTCAACAATACCTACCAAGTCTGTGTCATACTGATTGGTACTGTGAAAGCAAGCATTAGAAGTGGCAGCGAGCAAAGTGACACTCACCAAGGGCTGTCTGCCAGGCGTCATTCTGAGAGCTTTACGTGCAGAGTCTGCAAGTGGCTATTCCCTCATCTCAACTCTCAACACACTGCATGCTTATAATCACCAGTCCACAGGTGAGATTAGGTAATCCCAGAATGTAGCAGGACTAGGTGTTAGCTCAAGAAGTCCCGCCCCATAACTGGTGCTCCTAACCCCCCCGCTGTCTATGCCTCCAAACGCGCTTCAGACCAGGAGTCACCTAGTAAGTTTTCTCCACGGAGGCTTAGAGGCAGAAGCAAGTAGTCAACAAACTAGCGGGCTCTCAGTGAGGAAAGCTCGGGCTCCACTGGAAAGGAGAGCTGGGTCGCTCAGAAAGCTGGAAAGCATCGTTGCCTCCTTTCACTCCTCACGTAACCCTGTGAGGTGGGCTGCACCTCGCGGCAGGCGGGCCATTTGGTCAGTGGAACAGCCAAGCTGCAGCCCAGCTCCAGGCTCCAAGGCTCTGGACCACGCACCAGATGCAGCTCTACCCTGAACGAGGAAGGACCTGACGAGAGCCACAGTGTGGCCACTGGAAGAAGATGGGCCTGCGGGAAGAAGCCACCACCTAGTGTCACATCAAAATAAAGTTAAGGGAGGAGGAGGAGGGGAACTGTGCCAGAGGACGGCCAGCAGCTGCCAAGAGCAAAGAAGGATGGGCATGAGGCGTGAGGGCTGGAAAGTCGGGGCCAGTACTAGCAGAGGGCTTGGGGAGGAGGACGGTGGAAGGGTCCAGATGGACTTCGCAGCCCAGTGGTCAGCAGGGCCCAGGCTCCACACAGTGCTTCCTGCGCCTCCAGCTCGGGGCTGTTCCTGAGCCTCAGGAGTCAGCCCAGGAAGCTCCTTCCTGCACAGCCACAGGCAGCGCCAGCCTCCCAGACATTCTTGGTCTTGGGCGGGCCCAAGTGTGCCGGTGCCCCTCAGCTGAGTTCTTGCTGGCCTGGCTGCAAAGTGAGACCCACCTAGTGCCTCTGTGCTGCACAAAACCCATCCAGACCTCAGAAGCCACCTGGTACACGAGGCGGCAGGGAATTTTTCACAGAGCAGGGACAAGGAGCTGTCTTCCAATCCTCAGGAAGCATAAAGCCGGAGCTCTGCAGCTTGTCCGTACCAACACAACTCACCAGCCTGTCCACGTGCTCCAGTGCCTCCTCCCACCACCCATGCTTCTCAGCTCCCCCCAGCTCAGAATCACACCCAGTTCCTACCCTTTCTGCACCATAGCTCAGAGGTGTGACAGGTGAGAGGAAGCCCTTCTGAGGGGCCAGCTATCCCCATGGACTCCAAGACCAGTCAGGGGACTGTGCCCCAAGACCAAGGGCTGAGAAGGCCCCTAGTGTCCTGGGGTGCAAGGTGGGGAAGTCCCCTAGTGTCCTGGGGTGCAAGGGGCTTCCGTAGAGGGCCAGAAAAACTGGAGAGAAGAGCATGCGCGTGCACACCACACACACACGGCTAGAGATGCAGCTCAGCGTCTGCCTAGCATGCACAAGGTCCTGTACTTGATCCTTAGCTCCATACTAGTACACACACACACACACACACACACACACACACACACACACACGGGCTTGAAAGTCAACAGAAAGAGCTAAGAGTGGGAACTGGGAGCCGTGAATGGGTTCTGGTCCATCCCTCCTATTTTCATGGACTGAACCCTCCTTGAGGTAGGATACCCTTTTGTACCTTGACCTGCCCAAGTCCTAGGGAAGACTCAACATATGTTTTGGTCGCTGATGACCACAGCCACAGCCACAGGTGAGGGACAGGAGGACAAGGGGATGACTTCAGGGGCACATGGAGATGAGCCTCACTTGTGGGGAGACACTCTCCTGAGATGGCAGTGGGACAGAAGCAACGTAGATGGGGGTTGTGGGCAATTTCCTAGGGAAGTGGTAGTTAGCAAGTCTGCCATGGCAGTTAGGGGGCCAGAGCAGAGGGAGAATGTTCCGGAAGGGTCTCTGGCCTCCTGAGGTCAGTGTTGGATTTGCAAAGGAGGAAGATAGTGGCTTGAAGGAAGGGCCCAGAAGTCAGCCAGGACGGAAGGGGCAGAGGCAGCTCCGCTGCAGCTGGCGCTTGAGTACTCCAGAGGCCGCCTGTCGTGCCAGGGGTACAGTGGAGGGAGGACCAGCACAGGGGCCTCGCCCTGCAAAGGGCTGATGGACCTGGCCCAGTGGGCAGGGCCCAGGGCTACAGGCGAGCTGCAGGCGCCAGCGCGACAGAGGAGGCAGAGCCTCAGCAAAGGTGGCTGGGCTGGGTGTGGCACTGCAGACAGCGAGGCCAGCAGAAGCGAGACAGTGCCCAGGAGCAGGACACAACGGGCAGCGATTCTGACAGACAGCCAAAACCAAAGCAGATGAATTCTGTCCCTGCCACTGCACTGAGACTGTTCGTCCCCGTCTCCCCCACTGAACTGCAGTCAGAGCCAACACCCAGTTAGTTACCTCTGCTCCCACATCTAGCGCGATGGCCCTGCACTCTGAGACGCGACTGGTATTGGCTGAAGGACTCTCTCGCTGGACCTCCACAACAGCCTTCTAACGCACACAGGACTTCCTCCTGGCTGCACACAAGGCTTTAGACAGAGCAGCTGTCCTCTCTTTCGGTCCCATTATCTTCCATGTGGAGAGGTTGTCACGGTGAAGACCATCAGAGCGGCTGTCATGGCAACTGTCCTCTACAGGGAGGAGGGGTTTCCTTCCCCTGGAGATGAGACTAGAGGCGAGATCTTAGCGACCATCTACCTAGCCCTGTGGACACAAGGAGGCTGTTTCCACTGGGGTTTCTCAACCAGTATTAATCACAGGACAAGCAACATGGTGGACATTCTGACTGCTTCTGCTGTGCAAACTATGATGTACACACACACACACACACACACACACACACACACACGATGCTGTCACTTGCTGCCCATGGCTGGGTGGGTACAGAGTTCCTTCTTACACAGAATTCTGAGTGCAGCTGACACTCAGAACATCAGATAATCTTCTCAGAGCTGGACAGGCCACAGAGGTCTTCTGCAGTCACAAGTTAAAAGCAACCAGAGGGAAATCTACTGACCATGGAAAACACCCAGTGAGAAAAAGAACAGCCTTTTGGCAAGGAAGGGAGAGTCCCGTGGGGCCACGGAACTAAGGACATCTGAGGAGGAAGAAACCTAGAAGCCTTTCAGTTCTCAGGAAAGAAACCCTGACCCACCCAGCTTGGCACCTGAAATATTCTTTATCCTCTTAGGAACAAAACAGCTTTAGCAGCATTGGAAGGGTGCTAATTCTCCCTTCTGCTTCTTTTTTTTAGGACCCAGCAAGGCAGAGGTTTCCACTTCCGGTACCCCCCACTACGGGCTACTGGTGCTCTCCACCTCCCTCCAAGTGAATCGCCTCCCTCTGGGTTCCTGGCCACACACACCTTCCTGCGCAGAAGCCAGGGCTTGCTGGGAGAGCCCCAAGATATGTGGGCACGGGCTGGAGAGTCCCTGAACCCTGGGCCTGCAGATGGGACGAAGAAAATCATGGCAGTGAGAGCCAGCAAAGCACCCCGGGGGCCTCCTGGGACCCGGCTTCTGTGACTGCGCACACTGGGCGCGCAGGCTAGGAGCCAAGAAGGTGCCCAGCAGCCTCAGGGGCCTCTCCGGGCTGCAGGGCTTTCTCAGGTTTCCTCCTCCCTGCTCTTCTTCGGTTTCTTTCCTTGTTACTCACAGAAACCTGTTTTCCACTCTGGATTCTGCTTTCTTTTCCAGAGCAACTGTTCCTAATGTCTACTGTGTGGTACAGAATTCAGAAAAGTCAGCTGAAAAGTCCCCAGAAGCTATTCAATCTGCCAGGCCCATTAAATAAGAATAATAAAGTGGGGCCCCCTTAGGAAGACTTTAAAGTTGCCCACTGATTCTAAGATGGTCCCAAACCAGGAGCTACTGCGCTGGATTTTCACTAGATTTTCAGTCTTCAGCCTCCGACGCAGTTGAGCCTCTGCTCGGACAGCCACACGGAAACGGCAGATACCTGCTGCAATCAGCAATTCTCAGAGTCGAGTCTATTTCAGAAGCACGGAGCACACTGGCCCTTGACCGGTCCTTAACATCGGAGATCAGGGCAGCAGGTGGCGCTGGGCTTGCATGGGAATCCCACCCCCGGCCCGGTGACACACAGTTTATGTCACCCTGGAGAGTGGCCTGGCTGCACATAGCTGACTCACATGGTGCCGATACTCTGGAGATGCACAGCCTGCACGAGCTGGGATGACTGACCACGGTACCGAAGAAAACGCACGCCATGTTGCTCTTCCGCATACTGGACCGACTACCCATCTGGTGTTACACGACACAGAACCATGGACTTCCTACCCCATTCACGCACCGATAAGCAGTCTACTTCCTGGCTTACACTCTCTGAATGCCTCCCTAGTCTCTTGCCCTTCAACAACATGCCGTTACTTCTTGGCTGATGGCAAGCTGCCTTCTTCATGAGCTCGCCCACAAAGGCCTCCATTCTCCCTTACATCCAGCCCCCACACATCACTTCTTCTTCCCTAACCATGTCGTTTCTGTGGTTGGAATTTAATGCCCTCTGCTTTCTTTCATGGAGCTGCTTCTGTCACCCCTGGCTGGGGAGTTTTCAATATTCTTTTCGCTACTTAGATCACTCGGTGGTGCCCAGCCAGGCTCACAGTGCCCTGCTGGGTGATCTCCTGCCTCCCAGGTCCACACTCTGCTCTTACCTGCCTGCTCTGTGTCCCAGGAGGCCAGCTTCCAAGGACCACGTCACCTAAGCTCTCTGGAGGCGGAGAGAAGCACTAGGTGGCTGATGCCCTCCCTGCGGTGGCTCTGACTAAGGCTGTTCCTCTGCAGCCACGGCTTCCCTTGGGCTTTGTTCCTTACCCCACAGGCCTAGGATGGTCACAGCTTCCTGTTACTGACCGTTCCTAGACATTGGACTGAATCTTCACGACTCCCTCAATTTTAGTTTCTTCATTAAACTCTGTTAAACTATTCTGAGAGTTCTATCTGTTGCCAGCCTCAGGGAATACAGGCTCAGGGAAATGCTCCCTAAGGCCCCGATTGGGGGGGGGGGCTGAGTACTGCTGGCGCGCTCGGAACCCACGAACCCCTGCCGTGCGCCTCCATGCCAGTCGCAACCTCCAACTGTGGCCATCCAACGCGGTGCGCGGCGAACAACCAGCTGGGTGGCTCTCTTGGGCTCATTAGTTAAGAAACCCAGAAACCAACAATAGGCAGCAAAGGGTATGCAGACTGCTAGAAGCAGCTGTGTTGGCAACCAGGCTGATGAATGGGAAAGCAGGAGAGAAGACACAGGGAGGGTAGGAACAAGGCTGAATACTTTGTGAACAACCATTTTTTTTCTGGAAGCTTCTCTCCCTATGCCTATGGATGCGCTAGACCTGCCTTACCACAGCCCTCCTCTGAACCTGAATCAGCATGAGTCAGGAGTCTTCTTCTTCCCCCAGGAAGGCCCTGAGGGAAGACAGACAAGGACCCCTGTAGTCAGCAGAGAGTTCTAGATACCAGGCCTGCAATGGGAGCAAGTACAAAAGACAAGCTGTTTGGTCCCAGAAATCTGGGATCAGATCAGAGGGGTGCCCCACGGAACACAGAGGAATCTCTACCCAATTCTTCAAAGGAGAAGAGCGTCTACAGGCACGAATGACATAACTGACAGTGACAAGCAGTCAGATCCAGAGAACACGCTGAGACCAGTCACAGAGAAGGCGATGGGAGAGCAGGAGTGACATAAAGGGCACTGCAGCACCGCGCTGGCTTGTCCTGGGAGCACAGCAACACTCATCCTACGGTCTCTGAAGCAGACTGGGTCTGGGAAGCAAAGCTCACTCTGCCCAACAAGCTTAGCATGTAGTGTTGACGGCTTAGGCACAGTGCGGAGGAGTCTGTCCACGCTTCCTCACCCACCTAGCTCCTCTTAGGGTCACTTATTAGCCCAGGCCACAGGTCGGGGACTGTGCTCCTTGAGGCTCGGTGACACTGAGGTCGCACAGCTGGCCGATGGCAGAGCTGGGACTCATCCCAATTTTACATGACCCCGAAGTCCATCTTCTCTAACTCTATGAGCACCTTTGGGGCTAACAGCCAACTGAAGGAGAATTAAGTAAACTACCCATTGGTTGTGATCTGCTTCCCAACTAAGAAATAAGACACTTGAGAGTGAGAAAGTGTTCGTGTTCCAGGACCGTGTCTTGAATTGCTATTCCTGGCTTAGTCTGAGAGTTCAATAAATGGTTTTGATATTGATGATGACAATGCAAATTAAAGCACCAGTCAGGATCTATTGTTCTTTTACACTGCTAAAAGTTTAGAACTACTGACTAGGAATGAATAAATCCATGAGCACACGACAAAGCAAACAAGGTGAGCACCTTTCTGTTTCACTGAAGTGCCCTGTAATTCCACACCCAGCTTTAAAATCCCAATTCACTCAGGTGTTTTTTGTTTTTTTTTTTTTTTTTTTTTTTTTTTGCAGAACCGGGGATTAAACTCAGGTCCTTGCACTTGCCAGGCAAGTGCTTATTCTACTAAATTATCTGCCCAGCCCCTCCCAATTCATTGATAGAAAACAAAATTATGATAAACTCTTGTCACCACATTTATCATGTGAAAGAATGACTGGCTGAGAGGAAACACACACACACAAATACTCCCTCACGCATGCATGTTCGCACGCACGTGCACCCCACACACGCCAATCTTCCTAGATCCTTAGCTCCCTCTTTAACAGCTAGACTGAGGCACCAGCTGTTCAAGCGGTGGAGGAGTACAATGGTGCCCAACTGTGAGGACAGTGGAGGCAGCAGACAGCACTGACAAGCCTGCTCAGTGAGCAGCCTGGGCGTGGAGACGTAGCCCGAGAGGCAGCCCTGGCGACTCGATTGCAACTCGCCCCCCAAAGGCTGGGAGACGTAGCCCGAGAGACAGCCCTGGAGACTCGATTGCAAGTCGCCCCGCAAAGGCTGGGAAGGCCCGCAGCTACCTCCACATAAGACTGTAACTATAATGGACCGTCTCTTTCCAGAGCTACAAGTCAAAACACACCCTTCCTTTTACCTTCACTAGTGGGGAGGATCTGACTGCCGGTGTGCTCCTTCTTGTGCATGTGAATGCTCGCCATCAGGCAATGGCATGTGTGCCCAACCTAATTCTCCTTACCGTTTACTAACACAAAGAGATTATACCTGCTTCTCGATACTATATAATAATAATAAATACTATTTGAGGTTAATAAAATAATTTTCATTTCTTTGACCTTCCTTCCTGGGTTCTATGAACGTAACTACTGTTCAAGGTCCTCTACTAAGTCTGGATGGTGGCAGAAATTAGTAACAGACACCATGTTAGACATATAAAGATCTGTCTGTCCCTCCTCTCTAATTACTGGCTTCGTAACTTGAGGTAGACCTGTGACTCCCTGAGCATGTGTCTCCTCTGTAAGAGAAAAGGAAAGTGTCTCTCTGAAAGAATGGTGGATGGAGCAAGAGGGCTGTATTACTTCAAGCCACCTGTGCATTCTATTTTTAGAAGAAAAATGTGATGAAATATATTTTGCATTCAAAATCCCCAAGTCTACTATTTTTAAACTGAAATGCTTAGTGAAAAAAAAACAAAAACTGTTTCTGTTCATGAGCAAATTCCCACTCTGTGGGTTGATGGTTACTTAGAAGAATTGTTCATGATGGCCTAACAGAACTTTGATGACTAGAATGAAAAGTTTGAAATAGCATGTGTGTTTTTAGGTATAATGGAAATTTCTGGAATGTCACATATAAACAATGTTTTCTGTGAGAAGTGAGATATTTTCTTTATATATTTTGAAATGCTCAATATTTTATTATGAGAATTTGCTAATTTTATAATCACTAAGGCATAAATGTAAGTAATAACTACTATGGAATCACTGTAGTTGGAAACTGTCCACAGGTCCACATGGAAAACTGCTATACTGTAACAGGAATATGATTACACAGCTTTCAAACATAATTGCCACTACTGAGTCCACATTTGCTAAGTGCTCCACATTCAACTTTTGCTATTCACGTTATGAGCCTGTACTATGCTAGCTAGCATAGTGTTGGCAAACTACAGCCCATGCCAAACTACAGTTCAACGTTTTCATCAGGAAAGCCTTCTCATACTGTCTGTAGCTGTTTTGTGATAAAATATCATAGCAAATAATTTCAACAAAGACCATATTGTTATAAAAACCTAAAATCTTTACTACTTAACCCTTCACAGAAAAAAGAAAACCACCATCCCCTGTGTTAGGTAATGAGGATTGGAGGGGAAGAAATCCTCCCCTGGCCATGTCACGATGGAACTTAAAGAGCTCAGTCCAGTGAGGCTTAACTCATAACACAAATAAGTATGACTCTTCTCCTCAGGTGACTGAGACATGCTCACAAAAAAGGCATGTTGGAAGCTACTGCAAAGTATTATGGGAATAACACAGACTGCAAAGAACAGTAACAATGAAAAAACACATCAGGGGCAAAGACCCTATGATGACAGAAAAAATTGACTTTATAAAAAAGAAAAAGCAAATAACAAGAAAGCCACCTGGCTAAAGTTCAAAAACCAGGCAAAGTGTATGACACCAGATAAGGCCAGAGAGAACATGATCAGAGCAGGCCAGCTGTGAAGGCCACGATAAGGAGTGACCACACTATCTGAGGAGAAATGGGCTTCCAGAAGGGTCCCCAGTGCTATGGGAGACATTAGGAGACAGTAGAATTTCTGTAGCTCCAGAGAAGGGCTAGAGGAGAACCAGTGGAATGGGTCACTGCAGGGACTTAGGAGGTCATAAGACCTTTGACCTTGGAAGAGTGATGGCAAAGATTAAAGTCCAAAGGACGTATGGAAAGTAAGGTCATCAAATAGCCCAAGTCTTCCGATGCTCTGATAGGTACTGTGGTCCCAGGGACAATACAGATATCCAAAGAGAAAATATGCTTCACTGGCTTTCCTTGCCCCATTTGTCCATGTGTCCTGAGAGTAGTGGATGCTCATTTCACGACCATCAATGACGTTCATTTCCTTATATGTTCTTGTTCAATCATGCATCTTGGTCCATGCAATCAACAAATTAGGTATGCATCAAATACTAAGTTTTGAGTAGCAAGGTAGGAGCAAGCAGATTTCCTGAAGTCCTCACTGCCATCTCGCAGATCCATGAGGAAGGAAGGCACATCTGCCAAGCTGTGGTAAAGTCAGGGTATCCTCAACTCTGTTGCTCAGCTTAACAAATAGTTATATAAGATTGCATACACGATTGAATATTACTGTTTGTTTTCTGGAAATCTTAAATTTTTGTTCTTGTCTCTCTGCTTTTCTTCTTTTACGCTTTTTTAAAATTTAAAGAAAATATAGTAATAATAGATATGACATTAGAAATGGATACACACGTTAGTTATTCTTGTTCTGAAATTATGCAATGTATGTATTGTTGTATGTCACCCTGTTTCTGTC